ATATAAGATGTTTCCTATTTAAGTCTTTTTAATGCATACAAATATAGATGTTTGCATATGTATTTTATATGCACCCGTCTAGATCATGTATATCTTTCATAGGCGCAGTTTGATTTAGAAACATTATGTATTTATGCAGTAACAAACTAGTATTCGGCATTCATGTCTTTTTGCCGCGATATGTGTACGTCGACGTATGTATGTGGCAATTTGCAGGAAGTATACTTAAAGTACAGTCATATATGGATACACAATCCAAAGATTCGTGATACGTGAACAGTGAAGAGTAGGAAAGTTGACAACTGCTGTGCAAGTTAGTAACAGAAAAGTATCTATAAAGTTAATGTGTGATCATTATCAGCATGCAATTTTACTACAAATATGTCGATTTGTCACCAGCTTGATTCGGATAAGTATAACGAACAAAGATATTCAATGAACCACACCGCATACTTGGATAAAGGGTTGCTGTGTCCGATTATTCAGTGCTCGGATACACAAGGCATATGCCTGTTTTTCTTGACTTGTCATCCTGACGGCCTGTACATCATAAGAGTTCTGTCATGTAAATATTCTCAAAGTGCACGTACGTGATACCGATCCCCGATTTATTAGGCAATCCGCCTATATACTGTGGATACTGTTTAAAAAATAAATGTGCGCATGTCAAACACTGAGTAGTCTCTACTGAGAGAGGTGATGACTATGTGATATGTGTAAATAAAATTTTAATAAAATAAAACGATTTTTTAGGGGGGGAGGATGGCGGGGGCCCTGGGGCAAGTAAATATGTCTATGCTCAATAAAGTAAAAAGGAGGATATTTAATCCAAATGTTTCTAAGTGGTTGCATTTAAGTAGTAGGAAGTAATATTCTATATTCATTGGGTCATTCTAATCCTATAGTAGGATTTCATTCGTACTTTAATGGATTGCCCTTTTGACATTCCCGATTTCAGTATTTTCATATAATTAAATTTGAATGAATCGCCTGGTGTTGTATGTTCATTTTATATTTTTAGAAGAAGGCTATATCTAGAAAAATATGTTCACCTATATAAAATTCGAAGTTTGAGTACACACATCATTAAATGCACGAACTGTAATACAACTGTATACACCTGTATACTTCAAGTTGTAGTTGATCACAGTAAAATATATTTACAAAAAAGTTCGTATAATTTTTCCAGTATTCGACTAAAAATATATCGCCTATAAGTGCTCTATTGAATTTACTGCTTTGTGATACTTGTCATCGTACTGTCAGGAAGTTGCAGATATAAACACTCGTTATATTTTAACCCTTTGTTCAGAATAAGTGTCCTTAAAGTCTTAAACTGAGTACTAGAACGTCAACTTGCGCGGTCCATTTTCCGAAATTCTGGTGGGAGAATCTGCACTGTCAGTCGTCAGCGCGTGCCGTTGCGATATTATAGCGCATTCTGCACACACAGATTGTTATGCAAGCTGTATTAATATGAAGCACAGAGTCAAGCAAAGGTATCTCCGGAACACCGTCTACGACCAACAGGACAGCCTGGCCCTGCAGCCTGCAGCCTGCCAGCCTCAGCGAGTCAGCAGGCCACAAATATGGATATGTCAATGACGTCATCACATTTTATAGTAATACCACATTGGGCAGGCCACAAATTTTGATATGTCAATGACGTCATCATATTTTATAGTAATACCACATTGGCTCAAATATCTATAATTAGAATTGGGCTGCAACCACAAATCTATTGGGCGATACATGATCAGTCCCTGCGCAACTTTTGAAGTAATACTATTTCTTTGTACGAACCTTTTCGACTTCTATATTTTATACATACATGTTCTCAAACTACCAGTTCTGCTCGTGTATGTATTGCTTCAGAGTGTGCACTGTCAGACATCAGTTCAATATACACGCGTGTACGAAGTAGTAAATATCGATAGATGCGTTCAATGCAGGCAGGATGTTAAAAAGCGCAGACAATCAGGAGACAGAGGGAGTCGTCAGTGAGTCTTCGATCGAAAAAATCGAGCAGCGACAAGCAGACACTGACACTGATCTAGAAGAACAACTGAAGTCTGATGTAACGTTTGCAGGCCATCTGTGCAAGCGAACGATACAGGAGAGACACGGCGTGCTATATGCTAGTAATCCAAAGGGCAAAGCCCTCTTCGCAGTAGTTCGAGGGCATGGGCTGTTTTTGTACAAAGACCCTGCCTGTTTCCAGCGTGTAAGGGTATGTGTTGATCTCCAATACAACCAGTGATGTGTTAGATATCAGGCGATATAGATTTAGTATGTAGGAAGCCATCAATTCAGCCTGTATCCCAATGTCCCGACCCTTCGGTCCGTTGTCTTAGTCTGCTGAATGTGAAAATATCTGATGCATAGTAGTGTAATAATCAGCTTATACACGCCCATTGATTACCTGAATAACGGCTTCAATATATTTATTCGATAGAACTATTCTGCTGTCAAGTTACACCAATATACTGAACTACATTTGTGCCTTGGGGTTGCACACGTGAATGTCTACTCGTTCATTGTACAGCAATTAGGTTATCAGGAATGAATGGATTTGGCAACGTTCCATAATGAGCTCGTATTCGAACTTGAACTTCGGAGTGATGAGGTGATCATATTTGTACTTGCTTTTCGTATCAAAATTAGTACATGCTGCTCATAATGGACATGTATATGTCAATTTTGACTATATAATTAGAAGTTACACTCGATAGTCCGAACAAAAATGAAATGAAACGGCTGATATAGTATTCGACTTTACGCTGTCCTCAAAACTATATATATATATACATACATACATACATACATACATATATATATATATATATACTACATGAGAACATTGGTTAATTGTGGTCGTAAACTATTTATCTATAGATGTATATCAAAATTATACAACCATATACTTCAAAGGGTGAAGTGAAATGAACGATTACTGGATCAGCCTCATAACATTCGGTTGATTTTGTGTCTACATATAACTAATAGTCTACGTTTATATAGGACCATATACTAAAAGGGATGAAGTTTTGTTCCTGGATAACAATGGAATGAATTCGATCTAAAATTTACACGATCATCTCTAACATTATGTCAACACCTGTGTTTCCATTTGAACGATAGCCTCAGGAAGCTATTTCGCTAAGGCGCTGTTTCTTAGACCCAAACGCCCAAGTTCCACAAGAAGGTGCGTTCGGAAAAGCTGCTGCGTTGTTACAAACGCGAAGTAGAGAAAAGGGCAAAGATAGAGACTTTTACGGACACACCGTGGCATTCTATACAGCACTTGACACAGAGCGAGATTTTTCGCTGTCCTTCAATTGCCAAAAAGATTTCGAGCACTTTGTTTCAATTTGCAAAGGAATGGGTCGGAGTGTAAAACCGCAGAAGCAAGACAATGTAAAAGACAAGAAGAAGAGGAAGTTTGCGACCTGGCGTGGGCAAGGATCGCGAGAATTCGCAGAAAAGAAAATGGTGAGTGTGTTCTTTTTGCTTAGGAAATTCAAGTGATGAGTGATTGTTGATTGAATTTGGTCTAGTGGTTTCATATGTCATGTGGTGGGCTTTTGTCCAACACAATACCTTTCGCACTTTGTCTATTGTGTAGTGACCAGATTTTAACTTCATTTGCAGAAGCCCAACGAGAACAATGAAATGATGAAGATAGTATTAGTCTTAGAGTGCAAAGTATAGCTCCAAACCCACAGCTAAAGATACACCCCTTTACTCATTCTCTGCCATTCTGATGAAATACACATTTTACACGTATTCAACCCAGCTCACATTCGAGGTGCCACTTCAGGAGTATCTCAGCCTGAGACCAGATCTACAAGTACCATTAATTGTTACCAAGTGCATAGACGAAGTGGTGTCAAGGGGGTTGGATGTTGAAGGTATCTACCGCATGGCCGGTGGGAAGACCGTGATACAATCCTTGAGAGAATCATTTGATGAGAACGAACGAGTCATCGATATCACCAATGCAGATGAGTGGGCGGATATACACTGCGTCAGCAACCTGCTCAAACAGTACTTGAGAAGCTTACCAGAGTCTCTGGGAACCCACAATCTATACACACATTTCATCACGGCGGCTACAACTTTAACGGGCGATGCACGGAACGCTGTGCTGGCCTTTCTCGTACAATGTCATCTCCCTACGGTCAATTTTACGCTGTTTAGTCTACTGATGGTACACCTGCGATCAGTTGTCGCCATGAGCTACGTTAACAAAATGAAGGTGTGTAATTGTGTGATGTATGTAACCATAGTTCAGTTTAGATACGTGCGTCAAGCTATCCAATGAACAATGTCTCTATTATAACCTAGAACTTGCATATTCTGATCCGTTGGCAAATGTCATAAAGTAGAATAGAAGAAAATTATGTCAAAACTAGAATAAGCTCGTTTTTAACAAGACTATCTCGTGCACTTCAATTAACAGACAGAAAATCTTGCGATAGTTTTTGGTCCCACCCTCTTCTTTCCTCACAATGCCGACCCCCTGGAAATGATAAGTGAAACAGCCGGTCAGTGCAAGGCAAGTATCTGATGAAAATTGGGTATAAGAATCTATATATATATATATATATACATATATAAATATATATATGTATATACTAAATAATATATATATATACGAATATAATACACACACACACACACATATAT